CTTATTCTATTTTCTGTCTTTATTCCTATTGAGAAAACATTTATTGATGCAATTATCTCTTTTGCTTTCTAAGTAATTTTCTGACCATTTTTGAGACCCCTTCATTTTGTTTTTTAAGTTTCACAATAACATATCATGGTGGGTTCATTTTACTTACTGACTTGAGATGAATCTGAAAACCTATATTTTTCTTCAGTTACAGAAGATTTCAGCCATTATCTCATCATTACCTCTCCCATATTACCTCTCCCACCCTCCCTCCTTACTCCTGCTGTCATTTTAATTAAATGCGTGGTGGGCCTTCTTACTGTAGCTTCAGTAGCTTTTGAGTCCTTTCACAATCGCATCTTGACCCTTTCTGCATTCCCCATCATTTCTTTGGGATCTGCTCTTCCCTCCACTGGTCCTCACCTCACGAGGCTCTAAGCTGCTCTTTAAATCATTCATTTCTTTCTTAGAGCTTTGTTGAGGTTTTGTTTTCCTAAAGTAAATTAAACATACAATATACAATTTAAAGTATCTTAATGCATATAGATACATACGACCATGGAATCACTACCACAGTCAGGAGACCAGAGGATCCATTACCCTCCAGAAGACCTTTCCTCCTCCTTGGTGACATTTCCCTCCTTGCTTCTACTGCTTCTACACCCCATATCCTCAGGCGGTTACTGTACAGTTTTGTCACTATTCAGTAGTTGCTATTTTTAGAATGTTGCACTTTTTGTTGGTGTGGTTGGTTGTTGTTGTTGTTGAGACAAGGTCTCACTAGAAAGTCAGGCAGGCCTGTAACTTGTTTGATCTTGCTGCCTCCTGGCTCTACCTGAGGAGCTCTGACATTTGACAAAAGCCTTGATTTTATCCTCTGTCACCTGCAAGTCATTAAAACCTAAGCTCTGTGTCACTGGGGACCTGAGGAGCCTTCAGGGACTGAACCATTATTACTCCCTTAACTTCCCTGGCCTCTTGAGAATTACACTTCCCACGTTGCAAGTTCAGTCACATATTTGAATCATTAAAAAAATTCAGGTGTTTCACTCTTATAGTGAAAGGATTTTTTTTTTTTTTAATGTGGTTCATCTTATTCCAGAAGTGGAGTTTCTGTCAGCTGTCTTTGAGCTTAGGAGCATCATCCAAAACCTGTCGTGTTCCTCGCTCAGTGGTAAACATAAGGATGAGTTGTGGTTGCCGGGCTGCAGTGCCAGCCTCCTGGAACTTACCCCAGCCCTCAAGTCAGAACCTCCTCCCTCAGCCTCGGGAGCTTAGGAGTCCCATGTTTTAAAACATCTTAGTCATTCAGATCCTCCCCCAGGTTTATTTGCCACTGTACTCCAATGGTGCAAGTCCTCAATAAACAGTAGTATTGTTTTTGCAGCATTAAAAGTTTTGTTGAAGGAAGCATTTCAGTTGCAGGCCCATTATCCATGTAGTCCTGGCTGCCCCCAATCTGCTGCAGAAACACTATTGTGTTCCCAAGAAGCTGAGGAACCAGCGAACGCCCTTTTTGGCACATCCCTTTGAGTAGAACCTGGGCACCTGCTGGCCCTTTACTGAAACCTCAAGTGTGGCTTTGACTGTGGAGCCCACAGTCCAGAAGCCTGTGGTGCTGGCTCTCTGCAGGCTGCAGCTGTCCCAATGCCCCTGGCCCTCCCCACTCCAGGCAGTTTTCTGCCTCATCCATCAGGACAGAGCTGTGATTAGTCACATGGTGTGTTTAGCAACAAACCTTCCTCTGACTTGCGGTATGCAAATGATACTCATCAGATGCAGGCTGTGCAGCTGTTGCCTGTTTCAAGCCTGGCCAAGTTCACTTGACTGACGGGAACTCCACATAGGGCTTCAGATGAGGCTTTGGTGACCACTCTTTAGAAGTGACTGGCAAAGCCATCTCGATCCAGGACTTGGTTAGACTTTATGTATTGTGTGGAACCCACAAGGAAATGGGACCTGGGACTATTTTAATGTGGTCCTGATCCTACTTATTTAGAAGTATCTATTTTCAGTTAAAGAAAAGCAATTCCTTACACTCCTTGTCATCGTAAGACCCTCTACTAGGAAGAGATTAAATTCTTGACATCCTGAGGGAGTTATTTGACATCTGTCCCACCAGGAAACAAATTAAGTAATATTAATTTCCTTCAGTAAAGTGTTTTTGAAGATTCATTTTTTATATTCCTTAAATAACTGTGTTAATTCCTTTAAGACAGTCATAAGGGGGGCTGGGGATTTAGCTCAGCGGCATAAGTGCCTGCCTTGCAAGCAAGCAGTCGTGAGTTCGATCCCTGGTACTGATAAAAAGGAAAAAGACCAAAAAAAAAAAAAAAAAAAAAAATACAGTCATAAGGAAAGCTATTTATTTATTTATTTAGGGTTTTTTGAGACAGGAGCGCACTGTATACTTCAAGCTGATCTTGAACTCACTAGGTAGCCCAGACTGGCCTTGAATTTTCAGCAGTCCCCCAGAGAGCTGGGATTATAGGCACACACTACCATGCCCAACTGGAAAGCTATTTATTTTTGCATCTTATCAGGTACAGGTTTTACGGATTTTACAAAGTTATTTTCCCCCAATCACTATTCATTTTGATCATTACTCCTGGGAAAGGAGAGGAGAAACCTTAAATGCACAGCAAGAGATCATCAAATACGTATTGGTGAACTCCAAGTGTCTCCTTATTGCTTGACACTAACGTCACCTACCAGGGAGTAAAAAAAGCTTCGGAAATCCCATCACTTCTTTCTCTATCCTCTTCTTATTCCTTTTATTGATTTCTTTAGATATTTACGCAGTGTCTTCCATAGAATAGTTTCAAAGAATGAGAATAATTCAGTAAATTTAGTTCAGGCCTTCATGGATTTTGCAGTTAGTTTAGTGTAAGAGGCAGAAAAACAAACAAGACCCCAGACCAGTTTTTGTAGGCATTTTTAGTTGCTAAAATATTTGTGATTTTATTCTAATTGTAATAGGACTATAGTTGGTTCAGAAAAGAAAATGACATTATCTGATTTGTCTTTTAAAAACTTTAGCCTGCTGGATGGATTAGACGATAATGATGAAGGTTTACTAACATAGTATCAAGAAGAGAGATACTGGTGGCTTAGCAGTGCTGATGAATATGAATATCTGTCTTCAAATCTGGAGCCTGTAGGAGTTGATGACAAATTGGTTATAGGGTGTAAAAAAGAATGGGATTAAGAATGACACTTACTCTTTTGGACTGAGTAAACCAGCAGGTGTTTTCCATTTCCATTTATGTGATACAGGGAAAGTAGATTTAGAATGGATGGTTGAAAAATTAAGAGAATGTGTACCAGAAATGTTCAGAGATCCAATGTGGATATCACCTGTGCAGTTGGAAATGCAAGTGTGGAATTCAGACAGAAGTGAGGGTGGCTGCGTGTGTGTGCAGTAGGCAGTCTGTAGACAAAGCCATAGGGAGAGTGAGATCACCTAGGAACTGAGCACAGTTGGTCAAGGGAAGAGTCTACTCTGCTATTGACACTTGGGACATTCCAGTTTCACAGGCCAAGATGAGGAAGCAAAGTGGATGGTACATATCTGTAATCCCAATGTTTGGGAGACTAAGGCAAGAGAATCACAAGTTTGAGGCCACCTGGACTATGTAGTGAGTCCCTGTCTCAAAAAAGAAGGAAGAAGAGGAAGCCGAGGAAGAGGAAAAGAGGAAGAGGAGTGGGAGAAGGCAGGTCAAGAGGAGGAGATCCTGCCAAGGAACCCAGGAGGAGGAGACAAAAAGAATAAATACTTCTTAAAGGATAAAATGATCAACTACAGTCTAGAGACACACGGAGAGATCAAGGAAGATGAAAATGGGGAATAACCACAGGATCTAACTATGCAGGTGGTCACTGATGATAGTGGAGTGGTGAAAACCCAGATCTGATTAGATTGAGTTCAGCAGTGGAAACTGAGGAAGTTGTAAGTCTTTTTTTTTTTTTTTTTTTTTTTTGGTCTTTTTTCTTTTTATCGGTACCGGGGATCGAACTCACAACTGCCTTCTTGCAAGGCAGGCGCTTATGCCACTGAGCTAAATCCCCAGCCCCAAGTTGTAAGTCTTGTGTTAAAGCTGACTCTTTGGAAGCAGAGGGTGTCTAAGAAGAGCAAAGCAGTAGCTATGGAAGAAGATACTGAGGGCAAGCGAGGATGTTTTGCTGCTCTTTTTAAATCCTGTTCATCCTTTGTAGCAGTAGAAGGCTCGCCGTATGTGGTACAGATGCTACTAACCTAGCAGATTTAATGCGAGGATGAAGCTCTCTTTTGATTACTTCCTTTTTCAGTGAAATTAGATAATTCACTGAGCTGATAAATTCCATGAGCTGAAAGTGTGAGTGAGGGAAAAGGGGAATGAATATTATAAACCTGAGAAGCAACATGTCATGGAATAAAGTATGTTCTAGGATTTTGGATCTTTTTAGGCTCTCTGATAGAAATATAATCTCTGAAATACCAAGTATGCCTAACACTGTTCTCATAGGAGTAAACTAGGAATAGTTCGGGCCAAAAATCACCAAGGTTAGTCAGGTAGCTTCTCTGATTTGTTCAGGGAATGCATAAGAGTTACTTGGTAAATTTCAGTTTTTAAATTTTGTAATAGTTAATGTACTTAGCTGCTTCAAAATGCAAAGGGAATAAATAGGAAAGCAGTAAAGAATCTCCTTCTCCTGGCCTCCTGCCTAATTCCTTTTCCCGGGTTTGTCATAAATCACACCTATATCTTCCCAGAAATACTGTACTGATTCACTTTTTAAAAATAATTATATGCTAAAAACTTTTAAAATAATGGTTCGATTAATCATTTTTTAAAATATTACTAATAGTTACTGGTCTCTCTAGTTTATGTAAAACTATTTCTTAAAAAAGAGGTAGAGTGAGCATCTGTTTTAATACTGGGAGCCGTCTGGCAGATATCATATCTCTTAGGCATTTCTTAAGAACCATATATTTATTTAACAAAATTCTTTTTTTTTCTTTGTCTTCACAGCTGATCTTGCATCTTTAATGGACAAAACATACGAGAGAAAGTTGCCTGTTAGTTCTTTAACAATATCACGGGTAAGAACATTTAAACGTACAGTGTATATTTTTTCAAAGAAGGAGGCCAAATGGAGCAAGAAAGACCAAGCACATAAGGCTACAGAAGGAAAGAATACCCTTCACAGGCAATAATTTCTCATCGTGTAGTGTGTTTTTTTAGTTACTAATGTGTATTTTATGATGCAGGTGCAAAATTTTTTGACTAAAATAAAAGATAATAAATTTACGAGACTCTGATGGTAGTGATCATTGTCATGTATCCAATTTATTTTAATTTTCTCAAGATACAATATTTTACTGTATGATACCCATGACTTTTTTTATTGATGCGTCCTTCAGAGTGCTAATATTTCCTGATTAGCATTGCAAGTGTTTTTGGTAGCTGAAAATAGATATTAATGTTCTGCTGCTGCAAAGCAGTGGATGGAACAATAATACTGGCTGTAACCAGAAATAGTAATCAAGGATAACTTACCATTCACCTGTGCCACATATTGTACTAGGTTCATAACATGCATTATTTCTTTTTCATTTTCATAGCAGCCATCTGAGATAAACATGTTTTTTTAAATATAGAAGGTTTAATAACTTTCCCAAGTTCACACAGCTTGTAAGTGGAGGAGTTGGGATACAGACGCCAGTAAGTGTCTAGGAAAACAATGTTATCTTCTGTTGTTTCCCTCTAATATACTGGGTCCTATCTAGATCATGAATTCATTTTGTGATCCAGGACAACACGGTCCCTCTCAGTTTCCCCATTTCTGCTTGAGGAGAGTAGTATCTCCCTCAGAGGAGTAATGTGATGCTAAAGTGAGATCCCGTGAAAGCTTTTTTGTAGAAATTAATGGCACCATAAAATTCAGAGTATTACTAAGTACAGAAGAGGGGCAGGATAAAACTGATCTTCCTTTCTAGTCCTGGCCCTTTCTCTTGTCCTTTGTGATTCTTCTTTTAGTAGCAAAGCCGTTCACCTGAAGGCTTTTAGACTCGTACTGGGCACTACTGGAAGAGAACTGTAAGACCAGCAGCTCATCTCTTACATGACGAGTGAAACCTCTGGGGCTGTAACACCTGACAGTCGTTTAAATAGGGCTTCAAGCTTTAGGGAGCTTTCCATTTCTCACTGTAGCCTGGTGCTCTGGAGGGCAAGCGCCTTTCTCTTGGTTATGCAGATGGAGCAGTAAGTCCCAGAGGGGCTGGACCATCTGTCTGCCACACAGCAAGCTATCAGGAGGGCTGCTTTGCAAGCTCAAGCCTGTGTTTGCACTGCATTTGGATTCTAAATCTGCCCTTATTGGATTTCTAAATCAAACCCACAAGTCCCAGTTATTTTTAGAAAATCTCCTTCTTTTTACTGTTTTAATGATACAGTACTCACCACATGTGTTACCCGCTTCTCTTTTTTTCCTCAGTTAAGGGAAAAAGCCATCCTTGAAATAATATTTTCTCTTCATTTATTTGGATTGTAGTTATAGAGCATACTCAGGTTCTGTGGTTCGGAGGGAGATTTATTAAAAGAGAAATTGTACATTCACTGGTTGACAGGGGAGCTTAGAGTAGGGAAAGCAGTTATAAGCTGAGTGGGTTTCTGTGTGCTGGGGAATATTTTTCAGCCGTTAAAGTTTTTATCCTGTCAGCATGTGCTCCCATGTATTTGGAGCTTGGGGCACAGAGGAAAGATCAGGGCTCAACCTGAGAAGTGATGACTAGTTGCAAATACAGTAGGAGGAATCACTCTTGCTCTGAGTAAGGTTCAAATTTGGCTTTCACTCACATTTTCTGTACACATAAAGAGAAGGAGATTTAGCTCAGTGTCATAAGCGCCTTCCTGGCAAGTGTAAGCTCGTGAGTTCAATCCCTGATAGAAAAAAAAAAAAAACGAAAGAAAGAAAAGCTATTGTATATTTTTGTCTGCATTAGTATAAAGCAATTTGAAGGACAGAGCCAAATCACAGGAACGTTGTCCCAGGAAAATGAATGTCCCAGTTTAAGGTAAATGTGTGTGAATTGGGCCAAATATCTGGCATAACTTGTACTCAACCTAACAATTCCATTTACTTCTTTTAGTTCGTGGACAATATTTCATCTCGAGAAGAAATAGACCATGCAGAGTATTACCTTTACAAGTAAGTCTTCCGTTCCAACTGGCTGTGTATTTTCTTCATATCTGCTTTTTACAGTTTTTGTTTTGTTTGGGTTTTGGGGGGCAGGCGGAGGTTGGCGCCAGGGAGTGAACCCAGGGATTGTGTGTGTGCTGTTCTGAACTGCATACCCAGCCCCATAACCCTTTCTAACAAAAAGGGCAGTAGATAGGATATTATTAACACCTTGCTTTTTAAGTTTATATTTTAGCAAGCTTTCATTATCAGTACAGGACTTCCTCATATTTTATAATTACATCATATTTATGCTTAGGATATACTACATAAATCGGTTTTCTGTTAAAGGGCTTTCGTATTATATATGTAGTGCTGTTATCAACGAATTACCTTGGAGGTATATAATTTTGCACATAATTGTGTTGAGTATATACATTTATAATTTCAGTAATTACTACTTTCCAAATTGCTTTCCATGAGGTTTTACCAGTTTTCATTCTTACCAGCAGTGTACAAGAGAGGTCTCTTTACGACTTGGCTGACACCAAGGCAGTTTCACATTTGGATATTTTTACCAGTGTGCTAGAAAATTTTTATTCATTTGTTTTTTGAGGGTTTTGTTTTCTTTTTGAGGTAGGGTCGCACTGTGCATTGCAGGCTGGCCTTGATTTTACTTACGTAGTCCAGGCTAGTCTTGAACTCACAGTGATACTCTTTCCTCAGCAACCTGAGTGGTGGGATCACAGGCATGTGCGACATACACTGTGAGAAATGTTTATTCATATGAACAGATTGACTTGTCCTTCGAAATGCTTGGAAAAAGAGATGTTTTCAAATTTCAGAGTTTTTTAGATTGTAGAATATTTGGGGAGACTTAACTGATAGAGAACTCCTTAATTTGAATATTCAATCCAAAATGCTCCAAAACTCAGACCTTTCTGACTGTCATGGTAGTGCTCAAAAAATTTTGGATTTCAGCAAAGCATTTCAGATTTCTGATTTTCAAATTAGGTGTGCTTGACCTGTATGTATCTTTTTTCCCTTTTTTCTCAGTACGAAAATGTATTCTGGATGAACTGTTCTTCACATATTTTCGTTTAACACTGTTTTAGAATGCTTTCTACATTACCACATTTAACAATTATATTGTGAACTATAGATACACTTGTCCATATATAAGAAGATGTATGTTCAGTAATGCATTAAGTATAATATCATAAGATTGAAATAATATAATTCTCATTAATTAAAGGACTGATCAAATACATTATGTTTCATCCATTTAGGTGATTTTTTTACCTATTACAAATCTGTCAGAACAGTACCTTACAACAAAATTTGTATTGTGATTCCTGTTTGTAAAATCCAATTTATGATTTATTCTAATTTCTGGATGTTAAAAATACAGACTTTGGGGGCTGGGGATTTAGCTCAGTGGCATAAGCACCTGCCTTGCAAGCAGGCGGTCATGAGTTTGATCCCTGGTACCAATAAAAAAAAAAGTTCAAAAAATTTTTAAAAAATACAGACTTTGAAATTTAAAATGTTACCGGAAAGCTTTTAGAGTTTCTCATTTGATTTGGCTTTGTTTTGATGAAAAAAATTATAGTTATACCATAAAATTGCTCCTTCCTGTTTCCAAGTATTCTTGTCCGTCATAAATCTGAGCCACTAGTTTGATTTGACATCTTGTCTTTTGCTTTACTCAGAATTAATATTCTAACTTAAAACATCACTTTTAGTTCTAGTCTCCCTTTCATTATCAAAAAAAGGCTCTATTTTTTAAAGAAGAAGCATTTTTATGACTTCACAAGTACTATTGTGTTTGTATGAAGCTCTTCAAACTGTAAATAACAGGTTGGCTAGGTTGACTCCCTAGCCAAGTGTCTTACTCCTGCTTCCGGGCCTCAGGGAATACATGAGACATTTATGCCTCAGAAAAATTAAAAAGTTATATTATGAACTCTTAGAGTTTGTCTCAAGGAATTAAAATCAAGAACGTTAATCCTGAAAATACTGGGAACCTACTGTGCTGTAATACTTCTACCCACCAGTTATGTAGTGGTTATTAACTTCTGTGGTTTCTGATATTTGCCTTAATTTTTAGCTTACATCGTATGCCATTGGGATACCTGACATCCCTGAGTGGAATGAATTTAGACATGCCAGAGTAAACTGAAATTGGCGGTTTACAGTGAGGAGCTGTAGTCATTTCTTAATCCTAGATAACTCAGGCAGGCCTGCCTTTAGGGTTTCTCATTCCCAGGCAATGCTTCATGTAGAGAAAAGCCCGTGGCAGGACATTTGCTTTGGCCAAATCTTTCCTTTTGACCACACCAGACTCTGCTAGCAGAGTGTAGCTACTACATCTTCTGCATCTTCCCATCATCCCATTGTGGGAAGAGTATTAGAGCCAAGAAGTTTGCAAACCTCAAGTAAGGGATGTAAAGCTGATTGAACTTCTGCCATTATGTCAGGAGCAGAACTACAAGCAGTTGCAGGCTTCAGCAACACTGATTCTGCTTATCATCATCCTGTCGTCCCAGGAGAGAAACTGGACATCTGAGTCCCTGAAAGTGCACTGGTTTGAAAGCTGCGGGCTTCAACACTGAAGGGCACAGGAATTCTTTATGGAAAGAGAGAGCAGCAGGGAGAACCATCCAGACATTCAGACATTCAGATGAAGGCTGGGCCCTGTGTTCAGTCAGGGCCAACAACCCTGTGATCAACTGCCCTGCTGTTTGCAAAATTAAATGGAAACATTAGGGAAAGGGAAAGGATGGCCTGCACCAAAGAACAGTGTGAACTAAAGATCATGAAGGTGATTAATGCCATAAACTATGTAAGTTGACACAAACAGAAATAGCCAGTAATACTGTATACATCTAAAGGGAAAGTAAGCCAGGAATAAGTGATTCAGTGAGAAGGTTAAAACAAGTAAACTGAAATATAAAAGCTATGGAAAGAAGGTATGCCAAGGACTGTAACAAGTAAAATTAAAACAATAAAAAGTAAAACCTTGTGAGGCAGTGGCAGCCTGAGGAAACACCAAGAGCCCGAGGCTGTGGCGAAGGTCAGAGTTTATTCCCCCCACACACCGACAGGCTGACATCAGAGTGATAGCAGCAAATATTTGAAGGGGAATCTGAGTGTATCTAGGGTTTTAGGATTGGAGCCAGACTCAAAGAATCTGGATGGAATGGTTGAATTCAAAACTGTAAGGACAGTCAGCACAAGTCTGTGCATGGATTTGGCATCAGGGATCAGGGCAACTGCAGGACTGGTGTTAAATTTCTTTATTGCCCTGCTTGTTTACAGAAGACAGGCTGTGGTCAGTACTGGGGAGTCTGTTGTTTATAGTGGGCAGCCCCGGTCTCTCTTAGATCAGGCCTCACCTAAAAATGGGAATAGAACTAGAGCTCAGTCACTCAGTAGGTGTAGTTTGGACTGAGAGGTTGGGCAATAGACGTAATTGTCCTCTTGCATCGTCTTCACAGGTTAAATGAATACTGCAGAGTGTGAGGTCAGGCCATGCTGCCACAGGCCCTTTGCTTTTCCCATAGAAGCTGCTTCCAGCTGGCTTTGTATATTTGATCAGCAGAGAAAGTTCAGAAAGTACAAAGTTGGATAAGGGTAAAATTATATTTTCATTTTCACAAGCCTCTCAATGTTTAGCATTCCCTTCAGTTACAAACACAGGCAGCAGAAGACAGTAATAGCAGCAGCTGTGTCTTTTTCACAAGTAAGAATCTTTGGATTTTTTTCCTGTCACATTATAATTATTGCAAATACCTTAAAAACTTCTGAGTGTCAGGGTTTATGTTGACAGTTAAACCTGCTCATTAGCATTGTTTCATATGTTAATAGAGCAGCACATGTGTTCTCTCAGGACAGTTTGCCATTCTGATAATTGTATTTCAGTGTAATTGCTTTGGTTGTAAGAAACCAATTCCAAGAAGGGTCCATAGGAGTCACCTGCCTGCCAGAGGGTTCAAGACACTAAAACCTGAGCTGGGGTGGGATTGGCACACTACTGCTGCTTGGTTCACCTGTTTCCTAGGAGTAGACAGAGGAGAAAGCTAAGCCAATAGCTCAGCTAATAGCAGCTGACAGCAAAAGGCTATTCAGAGGTTGTCTGATTGGTGGACAAGCATCTGAAGGTGACTGTACTTGTTTTTTATATTACCTTTTTTTTTTAACAGTAATTTTAAATCAGTCAAATAAAATTTTTTCTGGGCAGCAGATTTTTACTTCCTACCCAAATGTCTTCTCATTGGTACTTGAAAGAAAAAAAGGTTCCACCTGTGCTTTACTGTAACCTACAGCATTCCTAAGAACTAGATTTGCATCTTTATTTAACTGATGCAGAGACTAAGGCGCAGAGGTTGACTGAGTCCAGCTGTCAGGCCACGTGGAAGCTGCCCCTGTCCTGAGCCCGCCAGGAGTAGATGCAGTGGACCATGCTTTGAAAACAATGCAGTGTCCCCAGCACAAGGTTGTGTCATAGAGGGGCCCAGCTGGGGCTACAGTTCTTTAAAAGGCATTCCAGAGAGACCATAGTATATAGAGCATCCACGAGTGGAAAGAAATTAGAATTGCAGGATAAAAGGAAACTCCTTTTCATATTTCACGTAACCTATGAGTTATTGTTCATTCTTTGAGAACTATACTCTTAGTGTTTCCCCTACAAAAGATTCCCCTTTCACGCTCTGGCTGCCTGGGAGTCAGTGCTATTTTGTGACAAGTTCATTCAGAGTTTTATGTAATGAGAACTTCTTTCTTTGCTGTTTTCTGGAGAATCTCTGGGCCACCATGTCTGTAGTACTGAGCTCAGTTCCCCAATCCATTTGTGTTGTCCACGTGTGAACAGATAAGTCTGGAGGCAGCTTCTAAAGTCCCATTTTCAGGAGGAGAACCTGTTCATCATCGGAAATACTGTGCTAGCAGTAAAAGCTTTTATTTTCATGGTTGTAAAAAGTTAACAATTCAAGCCAGAAAGATTCCTCCTTTCCATTTCTTGTCCTTTT